GGAGTGCAAGGAACATTTATGGCTAAAAGGGAAAGTGGCAGATCAAATGACACTCCTTGGTTTCTTGTACATCAGGACGGGAGCAAAGGCCAGAGAGGAAAACCAGGCAATGGTAGTAGTGTCAAATCAAAGGACATTCAGGAGTTAGGAGGAGAGTGCGAGATAGTTATACTAGGAGACATGAATGCGCACATAGGCGATATAGATGGGTATACCGACCCGACAGGCAAAATGATCATGAATAAGTGTGAAAGGCTTGATTTGATCATTTGCAACAGTACCGACAAGCGTGAAGGGCAAATAACATGGGAGGTAGGAAGGCTGCAGTCGACGATAGATTATGCACTGATGTCACATAGGATGTATGATAAGCTCAGGGGAATGCACATAGATGAAGGTGGCTCCAGAAGTCTGGGTAGCGATCACAAACGTATCAAGATAAGTTTTGGAAGAGCAGTGAAATTGGGAAGGAGACAAGATGAGCAACTCCAGGAAAATTTTTATCCAGAAAGGCAAATTGAAATGGCCACTAAACAAATTGAGAAAGTAATCACGAAGGATAATAAGACAGTGTGGACATACTTGAATCTGATTAGAGTCTTTGAGCTAGAGCTTGCTAAGACGCGTGACAAGTCACCCCGGAAAAGAAGACAAAAACCCAAAAGTTGGTGGGATGAGGAAGTTAAAAGAGCCATAGCAAAACGTCAGGAAGCCTTTAGGAAACACAGACATGCTAAGCAGCGGGGTGAACCGACAGATGATGTTGAAAATGGGAAACCTTTCTAAGCTGTAGAAGGGATGCATTCCTTCTGACCAATGAAAATATTAGAAGAAAGGGAGCTCAGTGGCCGGCAGAAGTACATAAAAAAGATAGAAAGGCAGCTGCGAAATTTCGGAACCATCTAAACTCCCTAAGAAATGAGACGAGCCTAGAGCAGAGTTTTATAACTACAGCCCAAGGTGCTAGGCTAGAAGGGGGCGAAGCTATTGTATAAGAACAAAGGTGATAGAAAAATTTTCAACTACGAAGTACTTTATGCACCACAATAGACAAGGATGAATCAAGTGGCGCAGTGGCTCCATGTTCACAAGGATAGTGGGAAAGGGTTGAGAAGAGGGTTCCTAGTGGTATATCAATATGCCCAGATGCCATTCCAATTATGCTGATAAAGACATTAGGTCCAAAGTCTAAGCAGGCTTTGAGAGAGGCAGTGAGCAAAATAATAATCGATGGTGAAGTTCCCGATGGATGGAAACTTAGCAGGATGAGCATGATCTATAAAGGAAAGGGGGACAAAGCTGACATAAACAACTACCGTCCTATAACAGCGACATCAGTGGTCTACAGGCTGGCGATGCAGATTATAAAGGAAAGACTGCAGGCATGGATAGAGGATGAGGGGGTGCTGGGGGAACTGCAGAATGGGTTTCGCAAACACAGAAGGTTGAAAGACAATCTGTTCTCACTGATGCAGTGCATCGAAATAGCAGAAAATGAACACAGGCCCCTGTTGCTAGCAATTTTGGATATCAAGGGAGCGTACGATAGCGTGGTTCAAGAGGAATCGTGGGGAATACTGGACACACTAGGTGTGGAACATGTAGTCTATAATCTTTTAAAGGATATCTATAAAGGTAGCAAGGTAGTTATAAAGTGGGAAAAACAGGTATCCAAGCCAGCAGAGGTAAAACGGGGGCTTAGGCAGGGGTGTCCCCTGTCACCCTTATTATGCATGATGTACCAACAAGGATTAAAGGCCAGATTAGAGGGAAGTGGACTGGGCTTCAACCTCTCTTTAGTCAAACAAGGAAAACTCATTGATCAGGCACTACCAGCATTAATGTACGCAGATGATATAGTGCTAATGGCCAACAACAACGAAGATTTGCAGAGATTGATGGACATCTGCGGTAATGAGGGAGATAGGTTAGATTTTAGATTCAGTAAGGAAAAATCAGCAGTCATGATTTTCAATGACAACGAAGGTAGTGAGCTTAGAATACAGGAGGTCACGCTAGAGATAACAGATAAATACAAATATCTGGGCGTATGGATAAGCAATGGGACCGAGTACCTGAAGGAACACGAAATATACGTGACGACTAAAGGTAACAGGAATGCAACAGTGATGAAAAATAGGGCACTGTGGAATTACAATAGGTATGATGTTGTGAGAAGAATATGGGAAGGGGTCATGGTTCCTGGGTGGACGTTCGGCAATGAGGTCTTGTGCATGAGATCAGAAGTTCAAGCAAGATTAGAAATTAAGCAACGTGGAATAGGTAGGCTTGCTTTAGGAGCTCACGGGAATACACCAAATCAGGGAGTGCAAGGTGATATGGGATGGGCATCATTTGAGGGCAGGGAAGCTAGCAGCAAGATAAAAGTTGAGAAGCCATTGAGAGAAATGGGGGAGGATCGTTGGGCTAGGAAGGTTTTCAGCTGCTTGTACATGAAGATTGTTGATACAAAATGGAGGAAGTGAACCAGGAAATTGACTGGTAAATACTTAGGAAACAGCAGGTGGCCAAACCAAAAAGAACTATCGGTTGAGAATAAAGTGAAGGAAACGTAGACTGACATGTGGAGAATGGGCATGATTAACAAGTCCGCACTAGAAATCTATCAAACTTTTAAGCAGGAAATTGCCAAGGAAAAGATCTATGATAATACTCGGGGTAGTTCTCTACTGTTTGGGGCCAGGACGGGAGTACTGCGAACCAAGACATATCGGGCCAAATATTAAGGGGTAGACACGGTATGCAGTGCGTGTGGAGAGGAAGAAGAAACTACCGAGCACTTGATAATGTTCTGTAAAGGGCTTCACCCTATTGTTCAAGATGATGGCGCAGAGTTTTTAAAAGCACTGGGGTTTACAGGCCGGGAGGGCAAAATAGACTTTAAGCGGGTAGACCTAACTAGAAGGAGGTTATCTGAATGGTGGCTAAAGTCAAGGTACGAGTGAAAATTAAACCCTTCACAGCAAAGTACAAATCCTCAAACTCACTTTTTAAAGAAAAAAATAAATCTAGTTTTTGGTTCATCAAGTATTATGGCTTGGTGGCGCTAGCCACCGCCCGATCTAAAGGGTACAGCCATATCCATCCATCTATCCATCCATTTTGCGACAGCGGTCACAAGGTAGCAGAAAATTAGCACCCAAAACAGTATTAAACAGGACTTAATCGTAAGGGCGTTTGTTTTTGTACACAAGCAATGGTTTCATTTTATGTACTCAGTCGGAACAGAAGTTAGCTTCTTCGCCACTTATCTGTATTTTTAATGTTTAACGGGAACTTCCACTGGTTCACCGTTTAGGCTACGGAAGCACGCAGCCTCGGCGCACACCTGTAATTACGAATAGGCGAGTGTGACGAGTGCCCAAAGCGCCCATGGATTTTCTAAAATTAACTAGAGAGGACCCTGGAGCTGCGGTCCTTTCGACCATCGAATGATTGGTAGTACACAGATTTGCGTAGTTTTCGTACTTGCGGGTGACAAATCGCACTTGTGGCTGCGTTGATTTCTTTGTTTCAGTTTTGTTTCGAAGGAAAGGATGAGCCCTTTTGAACGTTATGACCTGATTTCAAATGTTAAGCCTAAAGGGATAAAATGGTGAAGCGCAACCGTTCACGTTTGCTGATTTTTGTTTCGTGAGAAAACAGCTGCAAGCCACACAAACATCGCCCCGCCACGGTGGTCTAGTAGCTAAGGTACTCGGCTGCTGACCCACAGGTCGTGGGATCAAATCCCGGCTGTGGCGGCTGCATTTCCGATGGAGGCGGAAATGTTGTAGGCCCGTGTGCTCAGATTTGGGTACACGTTAAAGAACCCCAGGTGGTCGAAATTTCCGGAGCCCTCTACTACGGCGTCTCTCATAATCATATGGTGGTTTTGGGACGTTAAACCCCACAAATCAATCATAAAGACACACGAACACACATGGAGCCAGAAACAGGCCAGAACGTACGAAGATTAGACAAATACGTGTACTTCCCCTCACTCCCATGCTCGCTGGAGTGCCATGCTAAGGTGGCTACAATGGGAAGGTGTCATGACTGGCCTCTGAAGGCTGACCTGAAAGCGCGTTCCTGCCACGCTATGGCGCTGCCAGCGCGAGTGCCATGCGTATAAGTGCGTACAACGCCTTAGAGCGTGTGGTCGGGCGTAGTGATAAAGCGAGTTTCAGTAAAGAACAATGTCCATGCTGTGGGGGAGTGAAGGAAACGATGGAACATGTCTTGATTGATTGCGTCGACATTTACCCAGGTATACGTGTGGGTACAAGCCTACATGAAGCTTTGGGTTTCGGGGACAAACATGGAAAGCTTAACGTGTCCGCGATAGAAGCAAGTAAGACACGGTTAGAGTATTAGTGGCAGAAAAGTAGAGATAAAGGCCACAAATAGTGGGAAAATGAGGTCATTCTGCCTGAATAGGCAGATAAATGGAACACAACTTTATATTTTTCTTATAATAATCAATTCAATCTAACGTAAAAAGAAAGGTCTTGTTTTTTTTGCGAGCCTGACGGCACAAATGTCCCGCCCCGTTATAAAGAGAACTCTCATAGCATCCATCCATATCCACGTTTTTCTCGCGTCGGGTGCTTGCCTCTGGGCAGGCAAGTGACTCGATTGCGCTCCGTTTTAACTGTGGGGTGTTTTTGATGCTGATGGGCTTATTTATTTAGTGTTGTACACGTTGAGTAACTATGAAAAGATTCAGCATGTAGAAAACTTAATGAGTAACAAAGCAGCAAACGCCGACCACGCTGCCAATACAGCTATGGCTATTACGGTCACTTCTTGCGATGTGGACGTGTGTGATGTGAAAAGCAGCTTAGAGAAATCGTTTCCTCATGCTGGTGGGTTGGAACAACCTTGCTTGTGTCGCTCGCAGATTAGTTAGAGTGTTTGGATTGTTCTAATGTTTTAAAGGGTGGAAGTCAGTAGAGTTATTACTCAATGCGGTAGAAGCACGTATGAAAATAGAAGACTGGTGGCTTCATACATGTTTATTGGAAACAGTTCATGAAAACATTACATAACACAGAGCTTCACCTTCTTCGCTTTATTCTGCGTAGCATGCTAGTTTATCCCGACACGCCGTAGCACAGTAGAACTTGACAACCGATCATGTTAAAGGAGCTGATTGCCCCGGGCAGCCAATATGTGGAACGTTGGCTGCTAGGCTCAAAACATCCTTCACTACAGTTGGTGGGCAGTCGTGTGGTGCTAAATGCACGAGTTAGCCTATCCTCAAGGGTTTTGATTAAACTGTATAGGTGGACTCAGGGTAAAGGAAGGACCCTCATGCATGTCCCACTTTTTGCACACTTCTGCCAGCAATTGGTGGGATAAACTATCACGTGCTAATTAGTTAAGCATCCTTGCAAGCGTTGCAATAAGCTGAAAGGACCCGCTTCCTCGCAACATATAGTGCAATATAATAGGCCAGGAGGTCATCACTGTGTTCTTCGAAGTAGTCAGCATGGTCAGTCACAACGTCAGCTGCTTCGACAGGTAGCGTGATTTTGTCAGAAGGTGGTGCTTCATTTTCATACAGCAGGTGGTCCTCGGACAGCAGGGCATCCAAAAGTCCGGGAGACACGTTTCCTCCCTTCGGGCTTTACCCCAAGCTGTAAAAGCTCATGCACCTGCATACAAAAATACATAAATTGACACTTTCGATTACATGCTTTGTATTTCGATGTACAGGACTGAATATGTTCGTGCATGTTTATTTATTTATTTATTTATTTTCCTCAAGGGCCCCTAACAGAAGGGACATTACATGAGGGGTGGGCATACAAGACATGGGTAAAGGCAAAGTTGGATGTGCAACAAAACAAAAAACTGAAATTTTAGGATATAGCTGAAGCGGCCGAAAACAAAACAAAAAAAGAGAAGAGGGGAGAGGGTAGCAGGTACATTTGTTTTTGGACTTTACATAAAAACATTTTATAGTGACAAAATATACCACTTATAAGGTACAAAACATTGCCAAGTACACAAAATACACATACATACCATACTGGGAAGATGACACTAGAAACCATTACACAAGAAAGAATTCTTGTGTAAAGGTGGGCTTGACAGTTGTGCCGACATGTGGTATCTGTTCACGCCCTTCCCATTTATTGTGCAGGTGCTCGCTGCTGCATACCATGTCGAGCCCTTCGACGCTGTCGGCAGCAGCCGATCCGGACAACGCCCCGTTCTCCTGCATGACGCTCCAGCACCGTTCCAGCCAGCACTGAAAGATGGCCTCTGCATCGACCCCGTCACCGTACTCCTGGAATTTTCAACAGCGGCACCCTCAGCGACATCAGCTGCCCAACCGGGCATAAAAGACAGCGCTCTGCAGCCGACACTTCGTGGGCTTGACAGTTGTGCCGACATGCAGTGTCCCTTCGCGCTCTTCGCATTTATTGTGCTGGTACGTTCGCCCAGACTCCCTTTATGCAAAAAAAACTAGCAACCGTTTTTTGGTACAAATGCCATGCCCACAGTATTTCTTGTGTTTTGTTATGAATATCTTTACATGTGCGAACATTGTCTTCAAACTCTTACTGTTATCAGGCGATGTAGAGCTTAATCCAGGCCCTACCACGCGTGGCGCAAACAGTCAAACCGACCAAACTATCCAGGCACTTCTAACAAAACGGACGAAGGCCAAGCTCAAATTCTTTCCGAGCCTGAAAACGATAAATTAACGACTAACAGCAACCGAAGAAACATTAATACACCTTGCAACTCGTATCGAAAAATCTGAAGAAATGTGCGCATCTATCCCGGAACTTCTTTCCAGCGTAGGACCTTTAGGAAAATTGTCAACTGACGTAAGAATTCAGCTCTCCTATATGGAGTGCAGGCTGAACGATGCCGAAGATAGGACGCGTCGTTGCAACCTTCTTTTCTATGGAATCCCCGAAAAAGAAGAAGAAACTTTGGCAGACAGTGAAGGGTTTGTTGCTGACATTTGCAAGAAGCACATCAAAATTAACCTTTGTACCGAACGATATCGAAAGAGCGCACAGAATCAAAAAACGTCAACCGGAAAAACCACGCCCGGTAATTGTTAACTTTTCCCAGTTCAAAATAAAAAGCAATCTTATCTAACGGTTTCAAACTGAAAGATACGCCGTACAGTATAGCTCAGGATTATTGTTTCGCTACCCGCACTGCCCAGAGAGAGATTCTACGTTTCGCACGTGAGCACGGCGACCCTTTCAAGCTTCGTTACAAGAAGGTAGTTATCGGGAAAAAATCATACCACTGTAATGCAACCCGAAAAGAAGTCGAAAGAATTTTTCCGCGTGACAGCTAGCAATTTCGCAACCCAGTAAATGCATCGCCAGTTACCTCACCCTCTCGCCATATCCAAAATCACCCCGCCAAACATGCAAATGACGTCACCTTTTCTGTTCTTTACACAAACATAAGAAGTATCATGCCGAAACGTGACGAAATATGTACCATAATTAAATCATCTGATTGTGACGTCGTGATGCTGACAGAAACATGGCTTTCACCTTCCATCAAAGATCCTGAAGTTCTTTTATACCTAACCAATTTCGCATTGCATCACTAGGACCGTTTACCCGGTCGAGGTGGTGGCGTGCTCATCGCTGGTAAACATACAATCCGTCATTTCAATATTAGCATTACCCGTCCAGCGGAAGCCCTTTGGGTAGCTCGCGAAAGTTCCCATGGGCTGGTCATACTAGGTGTCTGTTACCGCCCCCCCCCCAAATCAGAGCCCAACTTTAACATCAACTTTAACGACACCCTCGACAAACTACACAAAATGTATCCCCGTGCAAAGTTTATAATTTGCGGGGACTTCAATTATCCGTCCATAGAATGGTCAAACAACGTTTCCCGTCGCAGCAGGTGAATGCGGCGATTTCCTAGCCTCTTTGGAATACTACCAACTAACACAAGTAATAACCCATGCCACCAGAGAAACATCACACCGCTTTAATATATTAGACCTTATTCTAATGTCGGATCCAAGTAGCCTGCATTCTCTCCATTACCTTAAAGAAATTAGTGATCACAAAATTATTCTTGCCTCTTTCAGTTTTACTTTTCCTGAAAAGAAGCCTACCCTAAAGCAGATAAAACTCTACGGTCATGGCAATTATGAAAAGATTAACACCAAACCTAAACACTTTTACATTTCATACGAACAGTGATTCAAGCAAGTCCACCATAGAAAACAATTGGAAGTTATTAGTCGAAAAACTAAACCAACTAACTGATACATATATACCAAGCATAAAAATTAAAAACAGAACATCCGCCTCTTTGTTTAAAAACGCGATTAAAAAACTGATAAACCGGAAAAAACGCCTACTCATACGTGCCAAAAAAAAACAGAAACAACCGTCCTTACGGAAACAATATTCTGATTCTGTGCGATGCCTCTTGATTGACATTCAAAATGCGAAACGCGATTTTTTTTCGAACAACACTACCAGACATGCTCAAAAATAACCCTAAGCAATTCTGGCAAGCAATAAACCCAAGAAACATCTCACCAATAACCTTAACCGGTAATGACAAACCACTTAGTCACGTAGATTCATCCAATGCCTTAAACCATGCCTTTTGTTCTGTTTTCAGGCGTGAACATAGCTATTTTGCAAACTCCGGAGAGAACCTTGAGTCTATTATAAGCGAGCCAATGTCACCTATTGAAATATCTGCAAATGGAATAACTAACGTATATAGAAAAATGAAACTCTCATCTGCAAGTGGAATTGATAACATCAAAGCAAAATATTAAAGAATACACAATTGATTATTAGCGCAGCATTTCAGCTGCTATTCTCTCAATCACTTTCACAGGGACAGGTACCAAGTGATTGGAAACTCGGTAAAATCACTCCATTGTTCGAAAATGGCAACAAAGCATCCCCATATAACTACCGGCCCATATCGCTTGCAAGTGTCCCATCCAAAACTATGGAGCACATTTTATTTACCAACATCATTAATCACCTCGAACAGCACAACTTCATTCATTCTTCCCAACTTGGTTTTCGAGAAGGCCTGTCGTGTGAAACGCAACTTGCTGCCTTCATCCATGACTTGCACACAAATCTAGATCGGAACATCCAAACTGATGCCTTATTTCTTGACTTTGAAAGGCTTTTGATAAAGTTCCTCCCCGCCGCTTATGAGCAAACTTTCTTTGCTTAATCTAGACCCATTCGTCTTATCCTAGATTAACAGCTTTCTCACTGACAGAAAACACTTCGTCGTCATAAATGCAGCTAGGTCATAAGTTTCTTCCGTCCTCTCCGGTGTTCCCCAGGGAACAGTACTTGGCCCCCTGCTTTTCCTGATTTACATCAATGACCTTCCGCACTGTATTACTAACAACATAAGATTATTCGCCAATGATTGCGTTATTTACGCAACAATTGCTACTCATGAAGACCAAATAGCCTTACAAGCAGACCTAACAGCCGTTCAAAATTGGTGCCACAAGTGGCAGATGAGTTTAAACGTTTCTAAATGTAGATCAGTGTCTTTTCACAGACGTACTAATCCGTTAATGTAAAACTACGCTCTTATAACAGTTTTCTACAACTGACTAGCTCGTTTAAGTACCTTGACATACATATCTAAAGTGACCTATCATGGACCCTCTGCATCAATCACGTCATTTCAACAGCTAGTAGATCTTTAGGTTATATCCAAAGAACCCTGAAGTTTGCTCCCAGACACTTAAAAGTATTAGCTTTCACCACATTAGTACGCCCTAAATTGGACTATTCCGCAGCAATATCGGACCCACACCAGCATTATCTCATCCAAAACTTAGAAGCCATCCAAGACCCCGCTGCCAGATTCGCCTTGTCCGATTACTCATCGTTCACCAGTGTAACAGACTTAAAGAAACGTGCCGCACTCATCCCTCTTAGGCAATGCCGAAAAACTGCGCGGCTCGTATTCCACAAATTCTATCACGCATCCCCATCCAGCATTACGTCACCCCGCACCCCTATTTCTCTGCTCGTTGTTGCAACACTATGCAAAAAATATTACCCTCGTCCCAAAACTACCACATTTGCCGAATCTATCTTCATTCGGACAGCTAAAGAATGGAACACCCTACCGGATACTATTGTTAGCATTCAGGATGTCGACGCCTTTAAAAATTCCCTGTCAACCATCACTGAACCGCAATTATTTTTGCCGGGTGACTTACCATGTTAATTCTTGTGTAATTGTTTCTAGTGTCATTTTCCTAGTAGGGCGTATATGTATATTTTGTGTGCTTGGCAATGTTTTGTACCTTATAAGTGGTATCTTTTGTCACTGCAAAATGTTTTTATCTAGAGTACACAAACAAATGTACCTGTTACTCACAAGAGTGGAAGCTTGGGCTAGTTGGTGCGTAGTCATATTTGCAAGATGTTTCAGCGCGCGAACAAAGGAAAAAGGACAGGGTAGACAGAAAGAGCGCTGACTTCCAACTAACTTTATTTCACAGAGTGGCAAGAATATATACTGCTAAAAAGGATGATAACAGTGCATGAAGGTAACATGAAAGCCTAATCTACACATCAGTATCAAAACACGTGTGACGAGTCCTCTATTGCCTCAAAGCCCAGCCAGGTAATCACGTTCAGCCTTTGATAAAGCAATCGATGATGTGCTTACACATTTATCTCCTAGCAAGTGTATTTTTTTGGCTTCGATAATTTCTCGGGTAAGCTGGTCCCTGTGCCTTGCCAATATTGAGCACTGATCAAAGAGAGGGGTGCGCCCACAATCTCGGCAATGAATGCCAAGATGCCCTTGTACCACATTGTGCACATTGTTTCGGTGTTCTCGGAGGCGGTCATTTATGCACCTGCCGATTTTCCTGACATAGATGCACCCACACGTCAGTGGAATCAGGTATACGACTCCCACTGCGCATAGGACGTAGCGTGTCCTGTGCGCGACAGAGCACGAGGCAGAATTTGCCCGTGGTGCATTGACCCGTTTGCAAAGCCACTTCTGCAAATGTCAAAAAAGACACTTCTGCAAAAAAAGACACTTCCGCAAATGTCTTGTGAGTAAATTTGTAAAAAGAGTCATCACATTATTTCTTATTTTTCTAAATGTAACTACTATAGCAGCGTAGTGGTTCGAGCTTTTAGCAGCAAAACCTGGGCGCAGGCGATCAAGTCCCGGCCGCCAATATCACTCAGCGATGGGGGAGGAACGGAAAAATTGTGCCTTCCTGACTAAGCATCTGTTTCCCATGGCTGTCTCACCGTTCACTCACGCACTCAAGAAAAAAAAAGGCAACAGTGTCCCCACGCGAAAATAGAACTGGTAACAGCCGAAGAATACACTGGCTTGTGGCTTGTACTGGTACACTGCTCTCAAAATATCAGCAAGTATTCTTGGCTACCAAAGAGCGCGTCACGTTGGAAGGCGTAGGTAGAAAATATTTGTGCACAGTGCGAAAATCGACATACCGTAGAGTTAAGGAGGGATGCATCTTCAATGTAGCGCTGCTGTCGATCGCTGGTGACGAAATGAAAGTGTCGCGAAGAGGATCTCGGCCACGCGCTCACGTGGTCCACAAACTTTTGTGGTTTACTGTACGAACGACTTCTTGAAGGGTGTGCACTTTTTTGTTCCGCCGACTCAAAGTCGAAACGGCACATTTCAGTATCCTTCGCGCCGTCGCCGTCCGTACCAATGAGCGTCGCATCTTATTCTTTAAGCGCAGCAACCGAGCCATGAGGATTCGCCTCACTTTTCTGCACTTCAAACACCGCTGAAACATATGGGTTGCCAAACGTGGGAGTGTCGTAACTCAGGCGCGCGCAGCTAAGCAGCAAGGACGATGGTCGGGCAGTCAACGAACAGCGTTTATTGTCCGCAGCGTGGTTATATACATTGGCATTAAGAGAGGGTGAAGGGAGGGGGGAAAAGGAGAATGAAGGCGCACAGGGCCCAAACGTAATAGTGCGCGCGCAGCTGGTTTTGCTGGCGTTACAAACGAAACAAGTACAACATTTCTTTCCTCTTAAAAGTGGTACCGTTGTACCGGGTTCCTAACTCTTGTCGATCGCCTCAGTATTGGCTGGTGCGGGACCACCTCAGGGCGAGTGTTCGTCCGTAGCGACTGGAGGTTCCGTAGCAGCTGGTGGGGAAAACTCACTCCGACCATCCGCGGCCGGTAGCTCTGGGCTTCGCTCTTGCTCATTCCGCCTGGACTTGCGTTGCAACTCAGGAGACGGGACTGGAGTAGTCACGCTGGCAGGTTCAGCTTCAGCGTCCGCGCCTTCAGTCGTCCCCGCAGTCGCAGACTCCGGCGTCGATTCGCGGCGGCGGCGGACTTGGTCAATATGACGCTGCACTAACCCTCTTGGTGTGTCCACTGCCATCATTCTCGCCCCCGACGCAGCTTTTACGCGTCCAGGCGTCCATCTTTTACCGGCACCGTAGTTGCGCACGTAAACGCTGCTTCCTGGCGAGATGGTCCAATCGTCAGCACCCGGCGACCAGTTCTCACCCCTGGGCGGCAGGCAGGTGTCAAGACGGGACCGCAGCTGCATGGTAAGCGAGAAGCATCTCCGAGGGTGACTTTCCTTCTTTTTGCGGGGTCCTCCTGTAAAGGAATAGCAGGCGCATGATGTTATCTTCTAGTGAGCCATCTTGCATTTTCCGCAAGCCATCCTTAAGGGTTCGCACTGCTCTTTCCGCTGCTCCATTCGACTGAGGATGGAAAGGCGCTGTACGCAACGTGCACAAGATTGTTTCTTGCTATAAACGTGGTGAACTCCTGGCTCGTGAATTGCGTGCCATTATCGGACACGATTGTGCGTGGCACTCCGAACCGACAAAACAGACTTCGTAAGCAGCGAATAGTACCCGCTGTGTTCGCATGCATCATAGGTATTGCTTCAATCCACTTCGTGTGAGCATCTACCACCACAAGTATCATTTTGCCGGCTATTGGGCCTGCAAAATCGATGTGGATTCCGGATCACTTCTCGGCCGTTTTCGGCCAACTCTCCGGTGGTGCTGCCGCAGGCATGGGCAGGTTTTCTACACAGCTTACACACTGCACCGACAATTCCTGAATCTCCCTGTCCATCCCTGGCTACCAAAACAGTGACCGTGCCACCGCTTTCATTGACGAGGAGCCTTGGTGTGTTTCATGTAGCAGCTGCAACATCCTTTCCTGCGCCTTCCGTGGTATGACGACTCTGTTGCCCCAATAGATTAGCCGGGGAGCCATCGACAGCTCCATTTTGCGATCAAAAAAGGGCAGCAAGTCGGGCGCCACTCCACTTGTTGTTCGAGGCCAGCTATGCAAGATGTATTCCGTCACACGGGCTAACAACGAGTCCTTGGCAGTGAGCTCCTGCAACTCGTACGTCGTCACTATACCTTCGTCCAGGGCCTCCAACGACTGGACGTACTCGGGAGCCTCCCCTTCGGCTACTGGTTCCGCTGCCGCCGGGGCTGGTAGTCTGCTGAGGGCATCTGCTGTCGGTAGTTTTCCCGGAACGTACTGTAGCTTGTACTGGTAGCCTCCTAGGAACAGTGCCCACTGTTGAATGCGCGCGGCGGCCATCGGCGGCGTTTGGCGGTCAGGCTTGAGCAGTCCCAGCAGTGGCTGATGGTCGGTTACCAGGGTGAATTGCCGACCTAGGAGGTAGTCACGAAAACGAGAAACGCAAAAAATCAGTGCCAAGGCTTCTCGCTCCAGCTGAGAGTAGTTTCGCTCCGCTTTTGTTAACGTTCTGGAGCGAAAACCGATTGGTCTGTGCTCATTTCCCGCCGAGTGAAACAGAACAGCACCCAAGCCATACGGGGAAGCATCACATTCTAGCTTCAGTTCCCTGTTGGGATCAAAATGAACGAGAAGCTGTGCATTCTTCAACATTTCTTTCGCTTTCTCGAACGCTGACTGCTGTGGTTCCCGCCATTCCCAACGGGCTCGCTTTTCCATGAGCTGATACAAGGGGCTGAGCGCAGTCGACATGTTGGGCAGGGAACGTGCGTAGAACGTGAGCATGCCAAGGAACGAGCGCAATTCGCTAACGTTACGTGGGCGCGGGGCTTGCATGATGGCGTCTACATTCTTTTCAATGGGGTGGAGGCCTTGCCGATCTATACGATGGCCAAGGTAAGTCACAGAAGGTTGCCGAAGCTTGCATTTGTCAATCATAAGCTTAACACCATGCTCTCGGAACCTCTCCAACACTCTCTTAAGCTGCTCTCTGTTATCACTCTTGCCTTCTGACACTAGCACGTCGTCAAGGTAGGCTTGAACACACGACAGACCGCCGAGTACTGCATCCATCTTTCTTTGAAAAAATGGCCGGTGCGGAAGCTATTCCAAACGGAAGTCTGTTATACCGGAAAAGCCCTCGGTGCGTGTTAATGACGCACAGCCCACTGGACGCTTCGTCAAGGGGCACTTGATTGTATGCCTCTTTTAAATCCAAGATGCTAAAATATTCGCCTCCGTTTAAGCTTGCGAACATGTCCTCTATCACCGGAAGAGGGTAATGCTCCACCTCACATGCCAGGTTAAGGGTAGCCTTAAAGCCACCACATATCCTCACGCTCCCGTCCTTTTTCAAAACGACCACAATAGGTGTAGCCCATTCTGCATGTTGCACGGGCGATAGAACACCAAGTGACACCAGCCGATCAATTTCACGAGAGACCTTATCGCGGAGGGCGTAAGGAAGAGATCTGGGCTTACAGAATTTCGGTGTCGCTGTCTCCTTGAGTTTTAGGCTGGCTGGTGGACCCTTGATCAGTCCAAGGACTGTTGAGAAAACATCCTCGAACTCGCCGAGCAGTCGGTTCAGCATAGGGTCGCTTGGCTCGGCGCTTGCTGTAGGGTCCCGCTCAGTCAGGTCTCCAATGGGAACGCCCGTTTTTCTAAGCAAAGCAATGAGGTCGCGGCCACATAGGCTGGGTCCTGCACAGTCAAGCACGATGAGCGGGCAAGGCACAGATACACCTTTATACTTCACTGGGAGTTCGAGTTCCCGCAACACCGGAAGCTGTCCCGCGTAACATGACAGCTTGATTCGTGGTGGTTGTAAGCGCGGCCACTGTGCGTGGTGTCGATCGTACACTTGGCGCGATACGACGCACACCGGGGAACCCATATCCACTTCCATGGCAACGTCTACGTTGCCCCATCGAAACGTGCGGCGTATGGGTGGTTCCAAACCGTTTTTTCTTCCCGAAATCAACGTCCAAACGTGTGCGCTATCCAGGTCGTCGTTGCTAGACGCGCTTTCAACTGTCAGTGCCTTTACGCTCACTGCCCGCCTTCCCCCCTTTGCATCAGTTGGAGCACTGTAGCATTTCTTTGCCAAATGACCGCGCCACCCACAGTGATAGCAGTGTGCGTTAACCCAGCGGCAGGCGTTATCGTCGTGCTTCGTGCTTCCACATCGGCCGCAGTAATGCGACGTGCCTAGTGTGCGATTACCTCGAGAGGGCGAGCGATGATGGGCTTGCATTTTTAGCACAGTCGGCGGCTCTGCACTCATATCTTTTACATCGCTGTCGGTCGCCTCGGCTGCAATGGACATTGATTCAGCCTTGTCGAGGGTTAAATCTTTATGTGCCAGTAACTGCTTGCGCAAGTTAGTTGAGCGTACGCCGCAAACAATCCTATCCCTCAACATCCGGTTCAGCGCACTTCCGAAGTTGCAATTGTCTGCTATGCGCCGTATTTCGACTAGGAATGCGTGCACCGACTCCCCTTCTTGTTCGCAACGGGTGAAAAACTTGTAGCTTTCTGCAATCTCGTGACGCTTGGGATCGTAGTAGTCATTTAATGCTGCGACCGCTTCGGTGTAAGTAAGGGAATTCGGCGTCCGAGGTGCAATTAGCCCCGCTGGCACTTGCGCAGTCTGCGTGCTGAGTGCTGCCACCAGAAGTGCTCTCTGCCTTTTGGAGTCAGTAATGGTATTAGCTTCAAAATACGCTTCAGCCCGAACAAGGTATGGTTTCCACTTATCTCTTGTGTCGTCGAACACTGGGAGCTGGAGGCTGGTCATGGTCGCCGGTACTTGTTGCGGCAGGCCGTCGGCTCCAACTTTCACGGCAGCATGGGTGGTTTCCGGGCTTGTCGCCACTGTCGTAACTCAGGCGCGCGCAGCTAAGCAGCAAGGACGATGGTCGGGCAGTCAACGAACAGCGTTTATTGTCCGCAGCGTGGTTATATACATTGGCATTAAGAGAGGGTGAAGGGAGGGGGGAAAAGGAGAATGAAGGCGCACAGGGCCCAAACGTAATAGTGCGCGCGCAGCTGGTTTTGCTGGCGTTACAAACAAAACAAATCCAACAGGGAGAAACATCAAAATGGGCGGCATAATATGCAGCTGTAATAAAAAAAAAGGGTACTGTGGAACTACAATAAGTATGACGTTGTGAGAGGGATTTGGAAAGGTGTCATGGTCCCGGGTTTGACGTTTGGCAATGTGGTCTTGTGCATGAAAACTGAAATTCAAGGAATATTGGAAATTAAACAACGTGGCATAGATATACTTGCTTTGGGAACACACGGGAATACCCATAATCGGGGGATACAGGGAGACATGGGATGGACATCATTTGAGTGCAGGGAAGCTAGAAGAAAGATAGAATTTGAGAAGCGATTGAGAAAAATTGGAAAGCAGCGTTGGGCTAGGAAAGTTTTCAATTACTTCTAAATGAAGAGTGTCGATACTACATGGAGGAAATGAACTCGAAAATTTTCAAGCAAGTATTGAGGCAACAGCAGAATGCCAAGTCATAAGGAAACATCGGTTAAGGAGGAGGTGAAGGAAACAGAGAGATATATGTGGAAGATGCGAATGCTTAAGAAATCATCACAGGAGACCTACCGAACTTTTAATTAGAAAATTGCAAGGGAAAAAATTCTACGATAATTCTCGGGGTAGTTCTTTGCTTTTCGAGGCTAGAATGGTAGTATTGCGGACCAAGACGTACCTATCAAAATACGGATGCACATACACGGTATCTAGTGCGTGTGGAGAGGAGGAAGAAACGGCTGAACATATGATAATGTTCTGTAAAGGGCTCCACCCTATAGTCGAAGATAATCGTGCCGAATTTTTCAAAGCATTGGGGCTTAGGGACAGTGAAGGCCAAATAAACTTTGAACGGCTAGAAATAACCAGGAGGAGGCTAACTGATTGGTGGCTACGATCGAGGCCCGAGTGAAATTTAATCCGTTAAACACACAGTGATAGTGCTTAACTTATGGCTAGGTGGCTTGAGCCACCACCCGATCTAAAGGTCACAGCCGGATACATTCATCCATCCGATCCATCCATCCTGGCAGGATTATCAGTGTAGCTCCGCCGCTCTGCCTTTTCGAGGGCTGCTTAGTGACCTGTCGCTTGTATTTGCGCCCGCTTAATCTGGTGATGTCTTTGCTTGCCACGTGCCAATGAGGCGCTGCGGAATCGGCGGCGGCAATGACACTGCTTTGCACCTGGGTGTGAAAGAGGTTACCATTGAAAGTAAACGTGAGCAGTCATCGCTTTTTACTGTACCCAAAGACGAAGCAATGGAGGAAGCTTGGTTTGGGAACATAATTTCAATCGAAAAGATAGTACCTAGGACAAAAGGTGCTGTGTATGTCAGCTACACTTAAAGCCATCCTGCCTTCTCCGAGACTGCGTGCACGTTACAAACGGCGAACAAGTTCGCGTACCACGTAGGAGACCTGAGCTGATACCTGACGCCGTGCCGAAGTCACCGCGTAACGCTCCAAGCTACTTATCGAAGAAAGAGCCACCTCCAAGACCTCCGAGGAAGCGAAAAAACTTGGCGGGAAAATCTACCATCTCCAAGAAAACTGAAGCACCCTGTGCTGACGGTGAGGCCAGATTCCGGTTCGTCGATGGACCTTCCTGCTGACTACGAACCCGAAGTGGTGAACACTAGAGGGACTGCAGCTTCGCTGGAACGCTTGCGCAAGCTCTGTTTACCTTCAGTTCCTTTTGTTTATATATTTTTCAATATTTATTACATGCCTTCATTTTTTGTGAATGGCACCAACCAGTCTCGAGGGGCAAAACAAAAAATAGGCTACAGGCGAAATTCAGTCGGTGTTCATAAGGGTGCCACCGTGATGAAGTGATCGTGAACCGATAATTCTACGTAATGGCGATGAATTTCGTCAGTGTTTCTCCTCACAGCAGTATTTACGCTCGTAATTGAAGAGTTTCTTCTTACAGTCCAACTGTGGTGCGAAGTGGTGTTTTCTTTTGACTGTACAGTGCAATATCCCTGGCCACAGCAACAGTATTTTGGCAAGCGCGTAATGCAAAAACTCCTGTGCACTTATATTTAGGTGCACGTTTAAAGAACAAGATAGTCAAAATTATTCCCGAGCTTTCTGCTACGGCGTGCTTCTCAATCAAACGATACTTTTGTCACCTTACCCACCCATTTAATTATCGCATTATGCAACTATCGACTAGAATGGTGCCGCGTGCGTAACGAAGAAAGTCGAAGCTCTCACAGGGTGCAGACTACGACTCGTTATAGCAGTAATATAACAAGATACTTGCGGGTTTTCAGATGCCTCTTCAATACCTCAATCTTTCTAATTTTCTATTTGTTAACCAACTGAGCTTTAAAGAAACTGCAAGCGGTTTGTTTCCTCAAGAATTACTGCTTCTAATGTGGTTGCTTTGGTGAGTTGGTACGGCATTATTTACATAAAAACAGCGCCAATAACGAGAGTCAGGCAGTGGCACTGTTTACAACAAGATGTATTTGCGAGAACCACGCAATATATAGTTCAACAGTATCTGACAAATATCCTCGTTATTGTCCCGTTATAGTTCCTTGTTCCTCATTATTGGCGCTGTTTTTACGTGAATAATGATTGCTTCGCCGTCATCAGTACTTGCTTTTTTATTCGAGCCATGCGTTGCTAGACGGTTTGGACTGGTTGGTATGATATGACGGTAGATATAGCGCCAGAACAGAACGACGATAAAAGGACAAGAACAAGACGATCGCTAGCTTCCAATTTAGTTTGTTGCGCAGAGCGCGAAAAGGTATAGAGGAGAGAATAACCTTCTGAAAAAACCCAGGTGACACAAAGAGCAATGCATGAGAAATGTAAAAAAACACAAGCAAAAAAGGAAAAGAAAAATGTATAAGAAAACGAAACAGAAAAGTAAAAGTGAAAGTAAAATTATTATAACTAGTTTGTGTTTGAACTTTGTGTTTGGTTTGTGAACTTTGTGTTTTGCCGTCTGATAAGGAAGGTGGTTACACTGTTCTCCCTAATTGCCTATACCTATAAAAGGCAGTCGCAGCTATTAGCTCTGTTTTCAAATGTTGTACTGACATTCGCCTAGATAGAGTAAAAACGCAAGCCAAGAAAATGTGTGGCCAACTAGAGTTGAAACAGTTAGCACAGAATATTGGTAAAAGCAATAAAAATTGGCTCAGCATGTTTTTTTTTTTTTTTTTTGCCAGAACACATAAATTCCACATGCTCTTCTTAGTCATTGTGACAGAAAGTGGAGCGCGGCCACAGCAACTCGGCTTGTTTTTTGACGCCTATCTAATGTATTTAACGATCAATGACCTATTCCTGATCAAAAACTCGCGGGCCCTCATAGAACTTTTCCAAGAGTCAAAGCAAACTAATGTGTTCAATTTTTCAATTGACATAAAGGACCTATACTACTCACTGACTCACGATGAGATATAATAACGTATAAGGGATAACATAGATTCCTTCGAGGATATGAACTTCCAATGAAAAACTGGCATCAGTGCGCGATATTTCCTTGACCTTGTTTTACTGTACCTTAACTTTACGTTCGCTGAGTGGAATGATTGCATTTATCTACAAAAAAAAGGGTCTTTCAATCGGCTCGTGCATAGCACCTCTATTCCATGATCTACTGTTGCCCAAAATGGGCAATAAACTGCAAAAAAAAAGTTAGAGGGCGTGCATGTCTTCAAAGGATACGTGGACGATTTATTGGTTGTTTTAAAGTGCAACCTTTTATGCTCCACTTGATTGCGGCTCAAATATTAGGCGTGTTTGAAGATTGTTTGAGGCCTCTTGTGTTGAAACATGAAATGCCCGATGATCACACGTTACGCTTTTTGGATTTAAGATTGCTTTTTTACACACAGCATATTTGTTGGTACAACGAACCATATGTGCAGCAATCTTTGCTTCCTTTTTTTTCTGCCTACAGCAAGCTAGTGAAGTGAGGCATAGCACGGACCTGCATTGAGAATGCCTTAAACAGGTCGTGCTTTCAACACATCTCTGCGAGCTTCAAAGCTCAAGTGTCTTGACTTATGG